GGGGCTCCAGGAGAGCTGGAGAGGGACTGGGGACAAGGCCTGGAGGGACAGGACACAGGGAATGGCTTCCCAGTACCAGAGGGCAGGGATGGGGGGGATATTGGGAAGGGATTGCTGGCTGGGAGGGTGGGGAGGGGCTGGAATGGATTTCCCAGAGAAGCTGTGGCTGCCCCTGGATCCCTGGAAGTGTCCAAGGCCAAGATTGGAGCAACCTGGGCTAGTGGAAGGTGTCCCTGCCCATGGCAGGGGGTGGAATTAGATGATTTTTCATGTCCCTTCCCACCCAAACCATTCCAGGCTTCTTTGACATTCTCTGCAAACGTGGCATGTCCATATTGAAATTTTAACATCCCGAGCAAGATGGAAAACTCAGAGCGCTCCTAATGTTTGCTCAAACTTTAAATGCCTGCAGAAAATTCCAGCTTTGTTGCTCATCTAATTCCCTCCCATTTTGCAGCCTGACATTTCAGGCTCCATTTGGGAGACGTTGAGCTGTGTCACTAATGGCCCTGTCTCAGACACCCACGTGCAGTGGCATTCAGGTGGGCACAGCCCATTGCTGGCACAGCATGAGGGCATCATTAGCTCTGTGACAAATATCCCTTTGTTGCCAAGTTATCCTTATTTTTCTTTGTTTTTTATTTTTTTTCTTTTTGTTCCTCCCCACCCCCCCATAATTTATTACTGAGCAGATTTAAATCAGCCAACTCTGCTCCTGAGAAAGAAACTGCTACAACAAAAAACACTCGCTGAGAGAGCTGTGAAAGTTTGGGTTATTTTTTTGTGGTGCTAATAAATGTGGAATTAGACTTTCTTGACTTATATAATTAAAAAAAAAACAAAACAACAACCAAATCCTTGAACCCAGTGAAGGATTTCTTGCATTGTGACATCACCGGAGCGACGGTCCAGATGGTGCCTGGAGTGTGGAATGTGTTGGGAAGTTGTGGATCAGTGAGCAGGGATGGTTGGTCCTCTACTCAGTGGTCAGTGCAATAATGTTGTGGGCACTTCCACACGCTTGGAAATCCTCAGGGCTCTCTGGGAATGAGGATTTACAGCTCATTCTCTCTGATGGGGTGGAGAGTTTTCTTCTCTCCGAGTGTGCTCGTGTGGATTTGCAAGTTCAGCTCTTCTTGGAGAGGTTCTGCAAACTGCAGCTCTGGGAATCATAAGGAGGGGGAAAAAAAAAAAGGCATTATTTCCACTTTTTGTGGAATTATGGGAAGGTTTGGGTTGGAAGGGACATGAAAGATCATCTTTTTCCAACCTTCCATTATCCCAGGTTGCTCCAACCCGGCCTTGGACACTTCCAGGGATCCAGGGGCAGCCACAGCTTCTCTGGGAAATCCATTCCAGCCCCTCCCCACCCTCCCAGCCAGCAGTTCCTTCCCAATATCCCACCTAACCCTGCCCTCTGGCAGTGGGAAGCCATTCCCTGTGTCCTGTCCCTCCAGGCCTTGTCCCCAGTCCCTCTCCAGCTCTCCTGGAGCCCCTTTATGCCCTGCAAGGGGCTCTCAGCTCTCCCTGGAACCTTCTCTTCTCCAGCTGAACATTCCCAGCTCTCCCAGCCTGGCTCCAGAGCAGAAGGAATCCAGCCCTGGGAGCATCTCCATGTTTTTTTCTGGTCTCCCTCCAGCAGGTTCATGTCCTTCCTTCATTTGCAGCCTGGGACAGTGGAAGGTGTCCCTGCCCATGGGAGAGGATGGAACAAGATGAGCTTCCCTTCCAACCCAAACCATTCCATGATTCTCTGCTCCCTGTTTCCTGCAGAGCTGCCTGGTCTTGGATTGTTTGGAGGAACGATCGTTCCCCTCCCCGTGGGAGATACCCTTGACAGACTCAAGAAGGGCAAAGGGATATTCCTGGTGTATTTTTATGGGCATTCCTGGTGGTTCTCCAGCACAGGGACTTGCCTTTGGTGGGTGAATCCAGTCCCATTGGCTGCTCCATGTAAATACACATTTCAGACCTTGGGGGAGAGTCCTCGGGGGGGATTTGCTCCCAAATATACAGACAGAGGGATCGTGTCCTCTCTCCTGCTCCAGCTGGGGCTTTTCTCCAGTGTCAGCCACCACAAAGCTCCAGCATGGAGAGAGGAGAAGGTGAGAGGAGCAGTGGAGCCTGCTGGAATCCTCAGGATTGGTTGACGTGTAGGAGCCATCCCCAGGAACAAGATTTACATCTCAACATGTTTTTCAAGGCAAAACTCTTCGGTATTTTAAAAGACTGAAAAACAAAACTGCTTTTCCTCGTGCCTCCCACCTTCCTGCAGAGCCTCTGTGGCGATTAATTGAAAACCTAGAGCCAGGAAGATGTAAAATCCCCTTTTTTTCTCCCTGTTCCAGCATTCTGTTCTACTCCAATCCCTCAGAGCGGGGCCGAGCGGATCAGGTGGATTGTTTCATTCCTGGCTGTGGAGGAATAAAACATGGAGGGCCCAGTCAATAATATCGATTAGTGCAGGGTGACTTGGTGTAACAAGAATCACAGCCCTGCCTTAATTCCAGCCTGCATTTCCTCCTTTCATGCCTCAGCAGCTCGTGCTCGGATAAATCCTCCAATAAGTCTGTAAAGACACAGAGACCCCGCTGGAAATTGCAGGATCTGACATTAACAGGGGAAATGAATAATTTTCTTTTCCTTGAACTCACACCTCTTTTTTAATTTGTTTTCTTTTTTTAAGCTGTCACATCGTGTGAGTTCGATTCAGGAAATTCACGGCTTCTTTTTTTTTTTTTTTAAAGAGCTTCCTCTTTCTAAATACAGTCAGTAAAGCTGAATTAACTCTGCCTTCAGCTGCTCTGTGCTTCCTGATTTCCTTGTGTTGGTGTAGGATTTACCAGGAGGCTTCCACATCCCAGCACCGCGTTGGAGGAGCTGACTCAGCTGTGGAAATGCTGTGACTGCAGATATCCCGAGTTTCCCTGGATTTCTCGCTCCACAGGGAGCTCAGTAGCAAACCTCACCAAAACAGCATCTTAAATCCACTGCTGGGATGGGAATTCTTGTAGAAAACACTCCTGGGATGGGAATTCCTGTAAGAAACACCCCTGACCTGGAGGGACCTTTTGGGATATGGAGGAGCTGGTGCTGTGACCTGCTCAGTCCTTGGGTTTTGCTGTGAGGTTGCTACAGGAGGGGCAAATAAATCCAATAAATCCAGCCATCAAAGAGCTTATTTTTTTGCAGGTAATGTCCTAAGGCAGATAAACTTCCCTCTGGAAAGAAGGTTGGAGGCACTTTCTTCCCCTCACACCCTTTCCAGTTTGGAGACTTTCTTCTTGTTTCAAGGCAGACACACGTCAGGGTCAAAAACTTCCATAACCTGCTGGTGGAGCTTTGATTTTCAAGGACTTTGTCGTTTCCCTGCACCTCTAAAGCTGCCCCAATAATGTGATGAGCTCCTGTATTTATTATTATCAATCCCTGAGGAAGAGTTCACGTGAAAAACGGGAAGGGCTTCGTAATCTTTGGGATGTACAAACTTTGCCCGAGTTCGTTTTTTGGGGTTCTTTGAGGTTTTCTATCAAAACCCCACAGCTGATGGGGTTGTTTGTGGGAGGGTGGCAGCACATGATGATGATCCCCCTGCAGAGCTGCCTCCAGCCCTGGGAACAACAGCAGGAGGACGTGGAGCTGTTGGAAAGAGTCCAGAGGAGGCCCTGGAGCTGCTCCCAGGGCTGGATCCCTCTGCTCTGGAGCCAGGCTGGGAGAGCTGGGAATGTTCCCCTGGAGAAGAGAAGGCTCCAGGGAGAGCTGAGAGCCCCTTGCAGGGCCTAAAGGGGCTCCAGGAGAGCTGGAGAGGGACTGGAGACAAGGGATGGAGGGACAGGACACAGGGAATGGCTTCAGACTGGGTTTGACTGGATATTGGGAAGGAATTGCTGTCTGGGAGGGTGGGGAGGCCCTGGCCCAGGTTTCCCAGAGAAGCTGTGGCTGCCCCTGGATCCCTGGAAGTGTCCAAGGCCAGGTTGGAGCAACCTGGGATAGTGGAAGGTGTCCCTGCCCATGGCAGGGAGATGGAACTGGATGATCTTTCAGGTCCATTCCCACCCAAACCATTCCATGGTGCAGCATCTGGCCCGTTGTCCTAAAAATGTTTTCTTCTGCAATGGTTTTACAAGTGGATTTTGTTGCTCTCAGGACAAAAGTTTCAGGAAGTTGGTATTCCCCCCCCCCTCTTTTCTCTCTCAATATCCAAATTTAACATCCTTTGGGAGCTGCCTCTGGAAGTACCTTTGGTTTGGCTGCAGTGATACACAGGTTGATGTTTTCCTGCCACTCCAAATCCTTCTCTGTGGGGCTGTGGTGCACAAATAACGTTGTCCTGAGTTGTGTTTCGCTGCAAAGGAGCTGCCAAACTCACAAATGGGTTTTTCCTGTAGCTGGGACCCTGTTTGTACCCAGGTGGAACTCGGGGAATTGTGTCTCCTGCTTGGGAATCCCAAATTCAGCACAGGAAATGAACCCCTGAGAGACCTGGAAATGTTAAATATAATTAATGAGTTAAAATACCAGGTCACTGGCAATCAAAACCAAGCGTCTTCCAGGTGGAATCGTGGAATCCTCAGACGTGCAGGACCTGGAAGCAGCAAGATTCAGGGAAGTGCTGCTCTTCAAACCCTTTCCAAGCCCTGTGGGCTTCAAAACACATCTGAGCCCCATGGACAAGACATTGGGGGTTTATTGCACAAGATGCAGGACCTGGACTTCGTGGTCTTCCTGCAAGACTTCCACTAATTTTGGGGAGTAGAAATAATGTTTAGAAACATCTCCACCCCACCTGTATTGTCCCCACTGCTTCAGCAGTGCTTGCTGTGAGCAAGAGGGGGGTACAGGGGAGCGTGTCTTCACGTTAATTACTGATCTTTCATCAGGAAAGAAGCCTCTAATTCATGTTTAATTATCACTTGCTAAGCGTTTAATTATCACTTGCTATCTAAAAACCACGGGCTGCTGAGCTCTGTTAGCCAACTTTGTTTGCTGTTATTTTCCAGGAGGACCGGATGATAACTTAATTGAAGGTGGCGGATCCAAGTTTGTCTGCAAACCGGGAGCCAGGAACATCACCGTCATCTTTCATCCCCTCCTCAGGTAAAATTCAGGTTTTCCACGTGCTCCTACAGGTGCAAACCGTTAGAATTAAGTAGGATTAACCTTCTGGAATTAACCTGCTCCGCGGGGATGGTGCCGCTTCCGAGCCGCGTCCCGGAGCAGCGGCCTCGCTCTGAAGTTGTTGGTGTGCAGATATTTTAAAAAAATCATCATTAATTCAGCTTCTTGGAGATGTTTTTAAACCTTTTTTGAAGGGAACTCTGGTGCCAGGTGGGATTCCCTGCCTGGGCGAGCCCGTTTCGCTTCCCAGTGTCGTTTATTACCGACGAGGTAAAATTTATTTGCGACCTGCCACGAGTTGTTTGTCTCTTCCTGGCCTTTGTGCTCCTTAAAAAAACTCAGAGGATGCTCTGACGAACTGCAAGGCGAGTTCAGGCTTTGATAAAACAAGTGTGATCTGGCAAATCAGTGCCTGATCCCAGGTGATTCCCAAAATCCTCACAACTGGAACCTTAAACAGAGCAGGTCTTTAGTGAGCTTTTTCTCACCGCGTCGTTCTCCTCTGGTTGCTTGAGTTTTGCTCTTTTTTGGCTTTGCAGTCAAACAGTCCCTGGGGTTGGTTTTGTTGGAATTAGTTGTTGGAATTAAACACTGCAATGTTTGCCTCGGTTCGTGTCGATCTCCCACCTCTGCTTTTCCCTGCCAGGGTTTTCCTTCCTCCTCAGGGATGTCCTTTCCCACTCAGCACCAGCAGCTTTAGAGCGTTTCCCCCCTTGGCTCTGCTTTTATTACTCGCTGTCACGAGCCACTGAACAACCAGGGGATTGTCTCCCCTCATAAAACAGCAATAAAATATAATTCAGTCTTATCCCCAAGGGGAAGGAATGTCCGACTGACCTCAGTTCTCAGCCCTCAAAAAGATGGTTTTTAAAGTTCTTTGTGACTTCTCAGCACTTAAAAAATACAGATGGAGAATCCATAAACTCCTCCAGATCTAGATTTCTGGTTTCATGACACCAAATATTGGAATAATCTTGAGAAAGCACTAAAATTTGGTATGGTCTTTAAGGGCTTTCCTTGGAAAAAGGGGTGTGTCCGTGGTACCCTCTGTTTACTGCTGGATGTCCATAAATGAAATGGAGAATTCCCCAAGCGGATTTCATTTCAACCTCTGTCTCTTCCCAACTAAAGAAACGCCCTAAAAATGAAATTTGCTGCCGTATAAATTTATAGTTTTCAGCCATTTTATTGTGGGAAAAGATGGGCGACGGTTGAGATGCTCTTCAACTGATATTTCTTCAATTTCTCATTTTTTTAAATGAATTTACAGATGCCTTTCAAGCACAGAGGGGGGTGATGCTCTTAGTTTTATTGATGACATATTTCCCATTGATTTAGATTCTTTCCCTTTGCCTTCCCGCTTCGTTCCCCCCCCCTTTTTTTCTCCTCAAACCTGAGTGCTCTGCTTTAAAATAACACCTCTCACAAACACTTCACTCTTCATTACCAAGCCTGCAAGAGGGGCAGGAGGAATACTTTGCCTCCTAAAAAAAATAATTGCAGCATCCTCACTTCCCTGCGCCCAGTTTTCCATCGGCAGCCGCAGGAGGAGAAGGAAAACAGGCCGTGACCCAGCCTGGCCTTTTCCCCCTGCAGGATGGGGGGGATTTGGGGTTGGGATGAGGGCTGTGGGAACTGTTTTAATGTGATTTTACCAATTTTAATCACTGACACAGTGAGTGCTGAGTCCTTGTTGTCTTAGATTTGGTTTTGGCTCCTCAGCTTTGGCTCCTCAACTCCGGCTAAAATATTTCGATGGTGCAATAATTCCCAGCACTTGGAATATTAGAATCCTCGTCCTACCTGTGCATCCCTCGTTGGTTAAATCTTTGCTTGGCCCTTTTCTGAACGTTCCTGTCTGAATTCCCAACTCTCCCTGGAGGGAATTCCTGCAAAGGTGTGAAGTTTTCACTTGTTTTATTTGCCATTTGCTGCCGGGGTCATCTTTCATCCCTGTCCCTTGTACCTGCTTCAGATGAGTCTGCTTTGAATTCAAAATGATCAATATTTTATTCACAAGTGAGGGGCTTTTTCCTTATTTTTACCAAGTTCCCATAAATCTGTTGCCAGGTGGACTGATTTTTCTTAGGAAGCTCAGTGCTCCTGGAAGCACTGAGCAAACTGGATTTCTGGGAAACCAGGCCCCCGGTGGGATGATTTAAAGCCTGGCTTTTAAAATAGAATTCAGCCCCAAAATGTGGAGAGTTGTAACCAGAACATTCATACCCACCAGTCTGAGTTCCCCTCTCTTGTCCTCCTGATATGAGAAGTGTCACTGTCCATCACATCAGAGGGGCACAAGCACGGGGGGTAAATTTGCTGCTTAAAAAGCCTTTTTTTTATCCTTTTTTTTTATTTACAAGCTCAGCTCCAAATCTTTTTGAAGACACAGGTTCAACAGGCTTTTGGGGGGGGGGGCTGTAACTTAACCCCCTTATCCCCCCATGACCAGCATTTGTTTAGAGAAATTAGAATTTACAGCCACGGGGAGTGTAAAGGGAGATACTCACAAATGGTTTTCAAAGCTTCCCTTCCCTTGGAATTCATTTAGAGCAGCAAACCAGAGGTGGGAAGTGAGGTTTTGGGATGCGGGTCCCCTGATTTCCACCAGGACAACTGAGACCCACCAAGGCCCAGATTAATTACCAGGATTTAACGTCGCTCCACACACATAAGAAACAGAAACGAGGAGTGAATTTTTGAAAGACAGGGGGGAGGTGATTCCTGGGAAATAGATTTTCCTAATGGAAAATTCCAAATCGGAGCAGGATACGTGTCTGATTTCCCTTAATTACTTTTCATGGGAGGTGTTGAAGTATAAAAGTTACCAAAATTGGAGTCCAGTTCATCCTTCGCTGTTAACCGGCGTTTCCTTGGCTTGGGAAAGCACTGGTGTTGCTGGTCTGAGGAATAACATCTCCCACTGGAGGAAGGAATCGTGCAGGGCCAAATCCTGGAATCTGGAGCAGCCTGAGCGATGTCTGGTGTGACATTTGTTTGGTGGGGATTTTTTTTTCCTTCCTTCTCTCTCTCTGTGTTTTATCGTTAATGTTTATTTGTTTCAGCTGGCATTTGAAAGGCACTTGGCTCCTGAGGGTAATAATCCTTTTACATATGCTTTATAGAGTGTGTTTATTACCAGACAATTGAAGAACAGATGTCTGCAGTCTTGGGAGGGGGGATGGAGGGCGATGGGAACTCAGCGGAACGTGGTTTGGATGTTGGATATCGAGGCCGCCAGGGCTTCCATTTATTACCATCAGCCACACCTCATTAAGATCAAGCAGCAATTAAAGGGGCTTGGAGGATGATTTGGAAAAATCTGGGCGAGATTGTGACCTTGGGAAGGAGGATGGAGGAGCTGAATTGGCTTGGCAGCCTCTCCCTCTCCACGGGGCTGTTTTTGGGGGAATCTCCCTTTTGGCGATGTCCAAATCACCGCCCTGGATTTCAGAGCCTGGAGAGCAAGGGGAAAAACAAAGAGTTGGTGTGTTGGGGCAGGGGAAAAAAAAACAAAAAAAAAGAAAAAAAGAGAAGGAAAAGCCAAATCCCTGCTTTGCCTCTGCTGGCGTTGTTCGGGATGCAAAGTTTAACGCTCCGGTTTGCTGCTGCTTGGATTTGGGATTGATGGCAGTGGAGGGAAAAGAGAAGGTAATAATTTGACATTTTAATTTAAAATGGAATGCTTTTGTCCGTTGCTACAAGTCTCCATCATTGAAAGCAGGAGGCTTTTCACTTTGGAATTAACCTGTTCCTTCCAGTTGTGTTAATTCCAAAAAAAAAAAAAAAAAAAAAGAGTGATTGCTCTTTTAATAAATAAAATAAATGATTTGGGGATTAATCGAGGAGGAAGGTGTTGACTTTTGCTGCCTGTTGATATGTCGCCAACTGGTGGCAATCAGCTCTGAGCTGCTGGAGGTCCAGTTGCAGATTCCAGGGATTCCCTGTCCTTGGGAAGGAGGTGGCCAACGTGCAGAACACGTGCACACACCCAGGTGCACAAATATTGGCAGTTTTATGGGAATAATTCTATTTATTTCGGGTTGTGTCGAGATGAAAGGTGCTGTGTGTAGAATCTAAACCCTCTGCTGCTTCTGGAAATCTTGGGGAGGGAACAGCAAAGTTGGGACATCAAAGTCTCGGAGCATCAGCTGCTGCTGCAGGTTCCAAAACCTCATGACTCTTAATTGATATAAAACTCTGTGTTTAAGCTCACTGAGAACCCCTTTTATTAGTATATCTGTACAGCTAGAATAATAAACAGCTAATTTTATTTTAACTACAATGTCTTGTAGTTGCACACCACAGAATTAATATTTGACCATATGGGGAGTGTGTTACTTGGGAAGCAAAAGGAGTGGTAAAATTAGTTTGTGAGTTACATTTAGACTGTATTAAATGGCACCAAATAGGTTAAGAAAAAGATGTGGTATTTTATCAGTCTAAGGGTTCCACATTATTATTGAAGGAGGTGGAAAATGTCAAAGCCTCCTACGGCACAAATAGTGCTAAATAATGAGAGCTGATGCCTTCAGCTTTTTGAATCAAACCCAAAATACTTGATTTTAGAGAAATCGATAAAACTGACTCAAGCTGGGAGAGGGAACTTGTAATATTGACTGCTGCAAGTTTGAGTTTGAGTTTGAGTAATGAGCAGAGGGTCAGGGGTTCAGGAAAAGAAAATATCTGACGTGCTGGTTTTGTGCACAGGAAACGTCGTTTTTGCAAACTTTTAAATGCAGTGGCTCCTTAAAAATAGAAGCCTCCAGATTTCATGGAGTCTTACATTCAGACTTATCTTTAAAGAGGGGGAAAAATATCACTTAGTTAATCCAAATCTGGCTCCTGCAAGGTAGGGTTGGTCCTCCCTTGGAGAGGAGGCCCCAGGGCAGGGAGATGGTGCCTCTCTGCTGGTTCTGTGATGTGGTGGGACAGGTGAGGGCCAGATCAGGAGATCATGGAATTGTTGAATCCTTTAGGTTGGAAGAGACCTCCAGGGTCTTTGAGCCTCCCTGTGCCCGATGCCCACCTTGTCCCCCAGCCCAGAGCACTGAGTGCCACGGCCAGGCCTTCCTTGGACACCTCCAGGGATGGGGACTCCAAACTTCCCTGGGCAGCCCCTGCCAAGGCCTGAACACCCTTTCCATGGAGAAATTCCTCCTCATGTCCAACCTAACCCTCCCCTGGCACAGCTGGAGGCCGTTCCCTCTCCTCCTGGCCCTTGTTCCCTGGGAGCAGAGCCCGACCCCTCCCCAGCTCCCCCCCTCCTGTCAGGGACTTGCAGAGCCAGAAGGTCCCCCCTGAACCTCCTTTGCTCCAGGCTGAGCCCCCTCAGCTCCCTCAGGAGTTCTCCAGCCCCTTCCCAGCTCCCTTCCCTTCCCTGCACACGCTCCAGCCTCTCCATGTCTTGTGATGAGCCCAGAACTGCCCCCAGGACTTGAGGTGAGGCCTCCCCAGGTCCCAGCACAGAGGGATCTCAAATCCCAACTCTCATCACCTGATGCTTCCTATTATTACAGAATCCCAGAATGGTTTGGGCTGGAAGGGACCTTAAAGATCATCCCTTTCCAACACCCTGCCATGGGCAGGGACACCTTCCGGCAGCAGAACCTTCCTCTAGAAACTACCACCTTTATTTTGGTTACTTCTCCTCCCTGAGCATGGCAGCTGCTCCACTCAACTTTCCATCCTTTCCATCCACTCGCCGCCGTTTTCCCTTCAATTGCCCCGAACCCGGAATCTCAAGGGAGCAATTCCACACCCACCTACGGAATTCTTTTCCCTCCCCGTGGTTTAATGAGGGTTTTTAGGAGGCATTTGGTTGACAAGTGCCTCGTGCTGTCACCGGCAGGGATGGATGTTCCTTGCGGGCGAATCCCGACCCTTTTCTCCCTGACAGGCCCCTCGTGGAGCCGCCGCTGAATTCTAAAGACACGTTTTCAGCAGAGCCTTGTTGTTGTGACACTGCCAAGGAAAAGGTTTTCCTTGTGAGTGAGGCCACTGCAGAAGTAGGAGAAAGGGTGGGGAGCAGCTTCACGTTCCGTGCTTTTTTTTTTCTTTCCCCCTCCCTCCCCCCCCGACGCTTTATGAGAGCTGACAGTCCTCCCGCGTGCGTCTGATTAGAGATGACAGTTTATAAAAACCTTAATGTGGGTCTGTTCATTTTCCATGACAGGAAATAAAGTGATCCCCTTCTCCCCCCCCCCCCCCCCCCAGTCACCGCCACCACCTCCCACACAAACAAAAACTCTTACATGCCAAAAAAAAAAAAACCCCACCCCTCCTCCTCCTCCTTCTCCTCCTCCTCCTCTTAATCTGCGGTGCATTGATTTTATATTGTCTGTCAGGGAACGCGCTTCAGCAGATCAGTCACGTTGGGAGTTTTCAAACATGCTTCATCCGAAGGGGAAAATCAACAGCCTGTCAGAAATTTCACATGTCTGCAGCTCCTCCTTCCCTCTGGATGAAACACGAGCTGAAGGAACAGAGGAATTTTGACATTTGCAAGAGCTCGGGCTGAGTAGCTGGGAACGGCGTTAATGCGATTCCGTGAATTACTTCTAACCTGGATCGTGTTCCTCGAGCCAACAAAGCAGTGTGGGCTCGTTCCTTCTTGGAATTACAGAATCACAGAATGGGTTGGGTTGAAAAGGACCTTTCCATGGGCAGGGACACCTTCCACTAGCCCAGGTTGCTCCAAGCTGGCCTTGGACACTTCCAGGGATGAGGCAGCCACAGCTTCTCTGGGAAACCTGTTGCGCCGCTCAAGTTTAATTCCAGCGTTTTCCTCCTGTTCTCATGGAGCAGGATCAAAGTTCCCCATATTGCTGAACACTGGTATTGTTCTTATTTTGCTTATTTGTCCTTATTAAGAAGGATTTATGATGCCACTGGAGTTTTCAGGGATTGATTTATCCCTTGAATGCTCCATCACACGGCCTGAACCGTGTCTTGGGATAGTTTGGTCGGAAAGGAGCTAAAACAATCCCATTGTCCCCCTGCCTGGCTAATTCAGGGCTGACCATGGGGCCAGAGGAGGCTTTGGCAAAACTGGCAGGGAAGAATTTTATTCCATTTAACCATCCTGAATACAAAAGTCTGAGTCAGAAGCCCAAATTACACACGGAGATCCACATTTAATCCCAGAATCGTTAAAGGTTGGAAAAGCCCCCTTAGATCATCGAGCCCAACCATTCCTCCAGCACTGCCAAGGCCACCACAAACCATGTCCCCAAGTGCCACAATGGGTTATCAGACACCATAAATCCCCTCAATCACGAGGTGAGATCCTGGAGCTGGTGCCTTTCCGGTGGGGAATGAACTCCCATGGCACCTAAAACTCGCTTTGATACCCCTCAGCTTTCCTTTCAAATACAGCAAATATTACTCTGCTGTTGCTAAAAAAACAAACAAAAAAAAAATCTATAAAGAATTCACAGAGCAGAATTAGAAAAGCATCTTTCACTTTCATGGTTAAAAAAAATACCACCCAAACCCTGACAAATTCTAAATTTGTGATCTGTCTGTGGAACCCGCACAGAAAATACTTCGCTGAGGGTTTTCCCTTGAGAGGGGAAATCCAAGGATGAAACCACGGCGTGATTTAAATCCGTGCTATGGTGTCATGACGCTAAAAAGTTTCACCCAGTGCCTGTGGTTGCTTTTATCAAGCTTTGTGAGTTTTTGATTGAAGGCAGGAGAGCTGGTGCTCCATGAGAACAAAAAGAGGTGATTCCTGGGTTTGGGATTTGCTGGTGAAAGCAAAGATCTAAAGCCCAAAACTGAGAGGCCTTTTTGGACCCCCCACCTCCCCTCATCACAGGAGCACGAGGATGAAAGGAAAGAGTTTTTATTTTTTTGTCATTAGTGTATTTTACATCAATTCATGGTGTTTATCCAAAGGGTTTTCTGGGAACGGATTTTTCCGGAGTTCCCTCGGTGTTGGGCTCCTCCTGTTGGATCTCCTGGCTTCGTGTTTGTGCTGGACAATCCTCCCTGGGTTTTTGCAAAGCTGTTTAAAACCTTATGGACAGTTTAAAACGTTGGAATTGGGGGGAAACTGTGGCTTTTAGAGCACAGAAGGGAATTCCAGTCTCCTCCAGGGAGACTGAAAGGGGAAGGAAAAAAAAAAAAGGAGATTTTCAAAGTATTTAATTTCCATTTATGACAATCTAAAATATTTGTTTCAGCTTTTTAATTACCCTCTTTTCAGTTGCCTGAGCTGAGCTAAAAATAATGGGTTTAAAGCTGCATTTTTCCATCCTGCTGAATTCATGGATATTACAGTGCAAGACCCTCATTTATTCCTATTTTATAGACCAGATTATTTGGTTCAGCCACATCTGATGTGTCTCTACAACCATTTCCAGGAGGGTTTTTTTTTTGCTGCCCCAAAGGCACGTGGCAAAACTGAAGTCCTGACACCACCCTGGGAGATGTGAGCCCATGGAAAAAACCTGGTTTTGGGTCACACAAAAGAACTTTTTGGTGGGATATTCCTGGGGAATGTAATTTTAAATCCTGCTGACTTTTAGAGATTGGCAGAATGGCCACAAATAAACTTTGAAGGAAATAAAGTAGCCTTTAATTTGGTTATTTTGGGTGCCGGGCATCTCGAGTAACAGACAGATGAGTGGGATACCACTGAGAAGCATTTCCATAGCTCCTTTCCTCTGGTACCTTCCAAGCTTTTCCGAGTCAGAATTCCTGAACACCTAAGTGTGGAATTGCTCTGGATGTGGAAATCCTGGGGATGGAGCTCTTGGGGGTGAAGTGTTGAGTTCAACGGTCATAAATTCTGTGCAGACTTGGAATAGGTGGAAAAACTGAAGGTGATAAATTCCCACTGTTATTAATCAAGGCCCGTATTTTCCATTTTATTGTGAATTTGTCTCTCTGGGTTGTGTTTTTACAAATGGATTTGCTGTGAGGGTGCAGCAGGTCTGGGACAGCTCCGAGTCCTGCTGGAACCTGAGGGCTCAACCTTTCCTTGGGTGACTTGATGTCCCAAAGGCTGGATCCCTCTGCTCTGGAGCCAGGCTGGGAGAGCTGGGAATGTTCCCCTGGAGAAGAGAAGGCTCCAGGGAGAGCTGAGAGCCCCTGGCAGGGCCTAAAGGGGCTCCAGGAGAGCTGGAGAGGGATTGGAGACAAGGGATGGAGGGACAGGACACAGGGAATGGCTTCCCAGTGCCAGAGGGCAGGGTTAGGTGGGATATTGGGAAGGAATTGCTGGCTGGGAGGGTGGGGAGGCCCTGGCACAGGTTGTCCCCTGGATCCCTGGAAGTGTCCAAGGCCAGGTTGGAGCAACCTGGGCTAGTGGAAGGTGTTGGGGTTGGAACTGGATGGCCTTTAAGTTCCCTTCCAACCCTAAACCATTCTAGAGTTGTGTGAACAGCAGTAAATAGTTTTATTCCTGGAGAAAATCCAGCCAGTGACCCAGCAGCTGGAATTTAATGTTTGGAATGGACCTTTTAGATGAAGTTGCTGCTCGTGGCAACTCGAGATTTCCGGAGCCCAGCAGGACCAGGCAAAGCCATCGCCTCAGTTCCCTCTCTACCCTCAGATGGGTTGGTTTCCAGTTGTGGTTTTTTGGCTGTAAAATACTAAAACAGATGTGATAAAATAGCCCAAGATCACAGCATCCCTTTCTTCCAATCTTTGTTGTGAGTTAAGAACCAGTCCTTGCAGTTAACACTTCCAAATGATGGAGTGCTGGTACCCGGGATGCCAAGCGATGGGATGACACCTCAGAACACAAACCCACTTTGATCATGGAGGTTTTATTTCAGGTTTTATTTGAGGTTTGTAATCAGCCCTGGCTGATTTCTGGCAGGATAAAAAGGCCAGAGAGAAGGCAGTGGAAAATGGGATGACGAGCAGGTTCTTTGTGGCTTTAATAATTTCTGGTGGCTCTTGGCAAGCTCATTATCTCTGCAGTGACAGTTTGAGAGTGTTTTTCAAAGCTAAAAGAGAAATAATTAAAGCTTTAGACACTCCATAAGGTGAAATAATATTGCTAAATAAGCGCAGACCCCTCAAAAATTGTCTGTTCCTTGGTTTTGGGGTCTCCAAGTTGATAATTTTTAGCCCTGAGCCAGGAATTCCTTCAGGGGACAGCAGATGTAATTGTTCCTCATGCAAAGAAAAATTGGAGACCTTCGAGAAACAACACTAAAGACAACAAGGAGGGAGAAAATATGGGGAAGTGTCAGAATTGGTTCTCCAAAACTCCAAACTGCAGTTTGTCCCTCTTTGAGAAAACAAGTCATCCCCCTTGATGCACACAGTATAATTGATTTGAGTGGGAATGGGCCTTGAGTTCACTCTGAAAATCAGGCTGGACCTGCATCACAGTCATTCACCTGAACTGAAAGCAAATGGTCATTAAAAATTCATAGAAGTGCATTAATTGCTTGGAATTTCTACTTTGCTAGGTCCTGTCTTAACTTTAACTTAAATACCAAATCTAACGTTGGTATTTTGCTCCCTCTCCTTTGCCTGGCTCCTAAATTATTGTTTCATCCCCTTCCCAGGCGGAATTATTCCAAGTTTTTTGTGGAATGAGGTGTTTGGGAGTAGAACAGAATCATGGGCTGGTTTGGGTTGGAAGGGAGCTTAAACATCATCCGGTTCCAACCCCCTGACACTTTCCACTATCCCAGGTTGCTTCAAGCCCCTTCCTGCCCTTGGACACTTCCAGGCATGGGCCATCCACAATTTTTCCGTGTTTTTTGCTTCCCATTCCTCCAGGTCAGTCTTTCCTCCGTGTAAAAGGTGCAAAACTTTGCACTTGTACCATCTACTGATAGAAAAGTTCACCCAACCTCTGCTCAGGTGCCTTTTCCCCCGAGTCCCCGCCGCTGGCACGTGTCCCAGGTTTGGTTCACCCATTCCAGCCACCCAAAATCCCCCTTTTTCCAGTGTCTGACAGGAGAAGATCTGCCATCTGCATCCCTCGGGAGCCTCCTAGAGAAAATTTCGGCACCTCTTCCCTTTTAAAACCAAACAGAAGTTGTCAGGGATGGAGAACCATTGTTGGAGCGAACAGAACGGGTGCTTATTTACGAGTTTTAGCTACGCCCAGGTCAATAGTTAAGTGGGTTTTTTCTGGTTAGTTGGATGAAAGGCAGTAATGGGTTTAATTGCTGGTTGTCATTTGTAACGGAGTCGATGAAGTATTAGAATTATTCAGATAATTTGTTGTAATTACCCACCGTCAGGCGCTTTGCGACGTTAAAAACACAATCTCTGAGGTAACAGAGCCGGGTTCTTTGGACTGAAGGCAAGAGCTTGGAGGGGACAATATCACTTTGAAACATCAGGTGACTCAGACAGGTAAACAACCCTGAGGTTGGAAAAGCCCTCCAGGGTCATCAAGTCCAACCAACCTTTGACCAACACCACCTTGTCCCCCAGCCCAGAGCACTGAGTGCCATGACCAGACCTTCCTTGGGCACCTCCAGGGCTGGGGACTCCAAACCTCCCTGGGCAGCCCCTGCCAAGGCCTGACCACC